AGGGCTGGTTGGACTTCTTTTTCGGAGGAGTTTGCCTCCCCACTCGAAGTTTCTCGCCCAGCTTTGATACTTCGCTCTTTCCTTCTGCCCTCATCCTCGTCCTCCGTTTCACTCGCTCGAGTGACGATTAGTCACCAAGAGGGCGAGTTCGATCAGAGATGGGCGGCCCAGTTGGGGGTGATGTTTTTGGACTGCATCAGCTTTCGATGCTTGTCTATCCAGAGACTCGGCCGCCCCACCGGAAGGTTCTCGCCCAGCTTCGCTCATGATTCTCGTCCTCTTCTCCGTTCCTTGTCATTTCAAGTCGTATCTACGCGCCCCGAGCGTTGCTTATGCTGGTGCCAACTGGGCCAGGGAGGGGCACTGTAGGGCCGCCCGCCATGCGGTTTCAAGCTCGAACGCCTTGATTTTTCTACTCTGTGCGTCTGAAGGGCGGCTTTTGTGCTGCTGGTTCTCAGGCTTGTGGGTCGTCGCCGGGCGAATGCCGCGCGCGGGGGTCCTGGCTCGTTTGGCGCAGTGTGCCGTATGAGACATCACGAGGGTCGCACCTGCTGCGTCTGACTGCGGCACCTGGCGGGGCGCGAATCTGCGTCCAAGGCTCTGTGGGCGGCTCCCAGCCTCGTCATTCCCCGAGCAGCGCGCGAGCGCTGTAAGGGCTTTGGGCTCTCAGAGGAGTTGCGACCTTGGGACCAAGAGTGCGAGTAAGGTGCGCCGCCCGCGTGTGCCGTGGCGTGCAGTGCCGGCGTCCCGTGCCGTTCCGTGCCGTGCCGTGCCGTGTCCTCGTGCAGTGCCGTGCCGCGCCTCGTAACACTCCGGAGTGCGAAGCGAGAGTGCCGCGCGCGTGCTGCGCCGTGCCGCGTCTGGTTTCTGGAGTGCGAGGCGGAGTTGCCGCTCGCGTGCCTTCCCATGCCGGGCCCGCGTGGGGTGCCGTGCCGTGCCCGCGCACAGCGCCGTCCCTCGCCGCGGGGCTGCGGACCGCGTCGCCGCCCGCGTGCTGGGGCCGTGCCGTGCCGTGCCCTGCGTGCCGTGCCGTGCCGTCCAGGGCTTTGCCCGAGATCGGAGGCGCCTGCGGCGAGTCGCCGCCGCCTCCTGCCATCTCTGGAAGCGCCTCTGTGGCCGAACGTTGGGCTAGAGCTATCGGACCACGCGTTCCCCCAGCTGTCGCTGAAACCTTTCGGGGAGCACGTGAGGAAGAGGATAATGAGGAGAAGAAGGGGAAGGGAATGATTTGGAGGAGGAGGAAGAGGAGGAGAAGGAGGAGGAGAAAGAGGAGGAGGAAGAGGAGGAGGAGGAGGAGGAGGAGTGACGGGAGGAGGAGGAGGAGGAGGATGAGTAGGCGGAGGAGGAGGCTGGAGGAGGAGGAGGATAGGAGGAGGCGGAGGAGGAGGAGGAGGAGGAGGAGAGGAGGAGGAGGAGGAGGGAGGAGGAGGAGGTGGAGGAGGAGGAGGAGGAGGAGGATAGGAGGAGGCGGAGGAGGAGGGGAGGAGGGTGGAGGAGGAGGAGGGAGGAGGGAGGAGGAGGAGGAGGAGGCGGAGGAGGAGGAGGAGGAGGAGGAGGAGGAGAGGGAGGAGGAGAGGAGGAGGAGAGGAGGGGAGGAGGAGGAGGAGTGGAGGAGGATGAGGAGGAGGAGGAGGTGGAGGAGGAGGAGGAGGAGGCGGAGAGGAGGAGGAGGAGGAGGAGGAGGAGGAGGAGGGAGGAGGAGGAGGAGGAGGAGGAGGGAGGAGGAGGAGGAGGAGGAGGTAGGAGGAGGAGTAAGGGAGGATAGGAGGAGGAGGAGGAGGAGGAGGGAGGGAGGCGGAGGAGGAGTGAGGAGAGAGGTGGGGAGGAGGCGGGGAGGGAGGAGGAGGAGGAGGAGGAGGAGGAGGAGGAGGAGGAGGAGGAGAGGAGGAGGAGGAGGAGGAGAGGAGGTTAGGTGGAGGAGGAGGAGGGGAGCGGAGGAGGGTGGAGAGGAGGAGGAGGAGGAGGAGGAGGAGGAGGAGGAGGAGGAGGAGGAGGAGGAGGAGGGGGGGAGGGGGATGGGGAGGGGAGGGGGAGGAGGAATGAGGAGGAGGAGGAGGGGGGAGGGGGAGGAGGAAGGAGGGAGGAGGGAGGAGGGAGCAGGGAGGACGGCGGCATACGATTTAGATGGTCCAGAAATGGCCTCGTCTTCCGCGCTGCTGCTCGCCTCCGGCAGAAGGAGGCGGAAGGCTGGCGGCGGCCGGCGGAGGCAGCACGGCGGCGGGGGCGGGTGGAAGATGGCGGAAGGCTGGCGGGGTGCGGCGGAAGTAAGAGCGAGTCGTCAGCATGCTTTGACTCAGGGGGCCTGGAGCTTGACAGCTATCGCAGGCCTAGAGGTTGACACAAGCACCAATATCGGCAGTGTGCCTCCACCGAGGGAAGAAGATCCCGATCTCGGTGATGGTGGTAATATTCTGGCTTCCAAGGTGACCGAATTATTACCACCAACACCGAAATCGAGGATAATCTTCCCCCTGTGGAGGCAACCCCCTGCGTTGGTGTTGGTGCCCATGTACAGGCCTCCAGAGCTAGGCCCCTCGCACATGCGGGGGGCAGGTGGCTCGACAGGGAATCACCAGCCCTGCCGGGGGCCGCATCACGGGGGCGCTTCTTCGGGCCAGCACCGGCGGTCTCGGCGGCACCCCGTGTGGCCTCTCCTCTGGCCTCGCTCCGTGCTCTAGCCCTACGCGGGGTCGCACCTGGCGCGCAAGTGGCTCTGCCGCCTTCTCCATGGCCCTGGCCAGCGAGTGGCGGGTCTGGTGCTGGGGTGCAGGAGGGGTGAGGGGGAGCGCGCAGGAGGAGTATTGGCAGAAGCAGCCAGGCACGGCGGCAGAGGCGAGGGGGTCGGGGCGGTCGGGATGAGGAGGAGGAGGAGGGGGAGGAGGATGAGGAGGAGGAGGAGGAGGGTGAGGAGGAGGAGGAGGAGGAGGAGGAGGCCTCGAGGACTCAAGCATGAGCAACAACAGAGGTCGACAACATCTGATAATACAAACGAGTTGGTTCTGGAAGCGGCCGATCTTGGCCTCGGCGACGTGATACTGCTGCGGATGACGAGGAGGGATGAGGAGTAACAACAGCCACCAGCGTCACAACCAGTCCAAAATTCTCCGTGGGCCGTCGCCCCATGGTGCCACTTTTCCAATGCTCGACGACCTTGCGATTGAGGATATTTAAGCGCCTGGCCACTGACATGGCATCGCTGCATGCCTCAGTTCTGGACTTCTCACTCGCTTTGAGCACGACTACGACAATGGGCCGCATCTCGACGGAGGATGATTCTACTAGTCCCAAGTTGGTATTGGTTGGGTGGCGCCCCAAACGAAGATGCCCGTTTTCAGCTGCTGTCGTAACGTCAGAATTTCTAGATTCGACGGCGGTCTTTTCAAATGAGGGTGAGGAGGATCAGTAGCAACATGGCAGAGGAATCATGTGAGGAGGATGGGCACGATGGGTTCCTCTCCCTCCCTCCCTTCCTTTTTTTTTTTTTTTTTTTTTTCTCTTTCTCTCTCTCTCTCTCGCTCGCTCGCTCCCGCTCTCATCCTCCTCCGCTTCCTCGCCAGCATCACCAGGCCTGACCGAGGTTGAGTGGCAGTTTTTTGCTGGATGCGTTGCAGGCAGGGCATCTGGCGCGCATCGCTGGACGGTCAGTCGGCGCAGAAATTGACGCTACGGGCATGCCCCTCCGTAGAGGTCCGTCCATCCATATCGATGTTGTTGATACTGCTGATGATGCTGTTGCTTTTGCTGATGGTGAAGCCGAAGATGACGATTTCGATGACGATGATGACGACGATGACGATGACGATGATGTCGATGATGTCGATGATGACGATACTGACGATGATGAGGCTGCTGCTGCTGATGATGATGATGATTATGATGATGGTGATGATGCTGCTGCTGATGATACTGATGCTGATGATTATGCTGCTGATGATGACGGCGATTCTGATGATGATGATGGTGATGATGCTGATGCTGCTGCTGCTGATGCTGATGATGATGATGCTACTGATGGTGGTGGTTACACTACTGCTGCTGATGATGCTGATTATGATGATGATGCTGCTACTGCTGATGATGTTGATGACGACGATCATGATGATGATGCTGATGCTGATGCTGATGCGGATGATGGCGATGATGATGATGAGGATGATGATGATGCTGATGATGCTGATGATGATGATGATGATGCTGATGATACTGATGATGATGATGATGATGATGATGATGACGATGCTGATGATCATGATGATGATGATATGATGATGAGGATGAGGATGAGGATGAGGATGATGCTGATGATGCTGATGATGATGCTGATGATGATGATGATGATGCTGATTATGATGATGATGATGATGATGATGATGATGATGATGATGATGATGATGATGATGATGATGATGATGATGATGATGTGATGATGTGATGATTGATGACGATTGATGATGATGATAATGATGATGATGCTGATGATGTTGATGATGATGCTGATGCTGATGATGTTGATGCTGATGGTGATCCTGATGCTGATGATGATGATGATGATGATGATGATGATGATGATGATGATGATGATGATGATGATGATGATGATGATGATGATGATGATGATGATGATGATGATGATGATGATGATGATGATGATGATGATGATGAGGTGGCCCGATCGGAACAACTCCCCCCCCTCTTCCACTCCTCCTTCCCAGTCGGACAACAAATCCTTCACCTCCCCAGTCTCCTTCCCAGCCGCGGCATTTCAGTTGCAGAGCTTCTCGCCGCAGGCCATTCCCCCCTCTCCTCTCCGCTCTCCCCCGAGCATCCCTCTTTCGCACGCCCCGCCTCGCCTTGCGCCCTCGCTCGTCGTGCGTCCCTCTCTGCCTTCGCACGTCCTCTTCTCCTCCGTCCGTGCGGGTTCACTCATCATGTTGCGCCTGCCGACGCGCCGTTGGGCGTACGGCCACCTGACCTGACCTGACCGCCCGCCCCAGCGGCAGGAGATGTCGCCAACGTCGCCGACGTCGCCGACGATGGGTCAGCTCTCCACGTCGGCCCCGCCCAGGGACATGCAGCCTGGCGCCGTGGCCTGGGCACCCAAACTGGCCTTCGGAGGATGGAGTCACCCTGAGGGAGGCACTCCCCTTTCTCCTCCTCCTTCTCCTCCTCCTCCGTAGCTATTTTGGCTCAAGCCATTGTGGCTCAAGATGCGCGGGGGGACTTCTCGAGTGTGCAGCTCTTCTAGAAGGAGCGATCCTGAGTGCGAGCTCAGGCGGACACACTTTCAGGTACAGCGCCACAGGGTCTCATTACCTCGGCGCTGGCGCAATGGAGGCTGCTGGGATCCAGGCTGTCGTTGCTGCCGCCATCGCTGAGAGCATGCAGGCTGCCTATGTGTACGATGGTGCAGGGCTGGGCGGTGGCAGCACCTGCATAGCTGTACCTCATACCTCACTGTGCGCTGCCCTTCAGGCGCACGCGTCTCTGGGGGGCATCCCGACTCATAGTGCGGGCGCTGTCCCCCAGGGGGTGGGCATATGCGGATAGGTTCGCTGGTACGATCATTCTCTCAGCACAGACTTGCCATCGGCGAGCAGATCGACAACAAGCTGACGACGATCAACGGATCGCTGCAGCAGCAGGGTGGCCTCCCCCGAAGGGTGACCTTCCCCCAATGGCCGTGCTAGTAAATCAGCTGAGAACACTCGTCCTTTGGCGCTCAGTAGTGCTGGTCAGAAGCTCGCGGACCATGGAATTGCCCACCTCGTAAACCTTTCACCCAAGAGCACCTTCACAACACGCAACGAGGATTTATTCGGGGAAGGAAGCTTGTGGATCATGTGGAACATTTTGAAGGAGCACTGGCGCTGCGGGGGTCTCTGGCGACGCTGAAGAGTTGGCGGAGCCACCTTCGATGTGAAAGCAGCCTTTGCATCTGTGTTCCACTCCTGGCTCTTCGTCGTTTTGGCCGTGGTCGGGCTGTCCAAGGTCATCTTGAAGGCTCTGGAGGCCTTCTACGAGAATGTGATATGCTACATCTTCATCGGTTCCAAGAGTTTCAGGGGCCTCCTGGCACTTCGTGGTATTCGTCAATGGTGCCCTCTAAGGGGACTTCTATGTGCCTGTGCTATGGGCCCCTTACTTCGTGGGGTCGAACGGCTGCACCTTCGGCTTGCCCTTGTTCCCTCAGCCTTTGCGGGCGATCTATCTGCTGCTACGCACAATCTCTTTCCCAGCCATCCTGGGGTGTTGGGTCCTCGTTGTGAAGAGACAGCGCCCCGCGTCTCACCTCCATCCGCTGTCCCCTCCCTCCTCCCTCTCTTCCCTCCTCCCATCCGCCTCGTCATCGCCATCGTCATCGTTATCATTGTCATCATCATCGCCATCGTCATGTTCCATATCATCGTGGTCATCACTATCGCCGCCGCCACATTTTGGCACACCTCTCACACGGTTCGTGGCCCCACATAGAGCACCACCGAAGACCCCATGGGGAGCTCCACCGAAGGTTCCACTGGCACAGGCCGCATGCGTCGACGCCACCCAGGACAGCGTTTCGTGGCCCCATAGGGAGCTCCACCGAAGGCTCCAATGGCACAGGCCGCATGCGTCAACGCCACCCAGGACAGCGTTTCGTGGCCCCATAGGGAACTCCACCGAAGGCTCCAGTGGCACAGGCCGCATGCGTCACCGCCACCCAGGACAGCGCTTCGTGGCCCCATAGGGAGCTCCATCGAAGGCCCCAGTGGTTGCGTTCGCATGCGGTTCCGCCCCCATGTCGGCACACCCCTCACAGGTTTTGCTGCCCCATGGGGAGTTCCACCAGATGCCCCCATGGCTGCGTTCGCAAGCGGTTCCGCCACCATTTCGGCACACCCTTCACATGTTTTGCGGCTTCATGAGGGGGCCCACCGAAGGCCCCAGTGGTTGCGTCCGCATGCGGTTCCACCCCCGTTTCGGCACACCTCTCACATGTTTTGTGGCCCCATAGGGAGCTCCGCCGAAGGCCCCAGTGGCGGCGTTCGCATGCGGTTCCGCCTCCATTGCGGCACACCGTTCACGTCTCGCGGCCCCGTAGATGGAGCTCCACCGAAGGTCCCAGTGGCGGAGTTCGCATGCGGTTCCCCCGTCTTTTTCGTACACTCACTCTCGCACGTCTCGCACGTTTCGTGGCCTCAGGGGGAGGGAGGGGGCACGGGCACGCCTTCGCACGTTTCGGGGCAGCAGGGGGTGCGGCGGGCGCGTGCCCGGCGCGCGCGCGGCGGGCGATCGCCCCAAGAGTGAGCAGGGTTCTGAAGAATTTCGGATGAGCCAGAAGGATATCGAGAGGAATGCCGAAGTATCAGCAGGAATCCAAAGGAACCCACAGGAATCGAAAGGAACCCTGCAACATTTGCAGGACTTTCGAGGAGCCCAGAGAAACTCAGAGGAACCCTTGGGAAACTAAAAGAAGTCCATGGATTTCGGAAGAATTTGAAGGCACCCAACGGAATCCAAAACAAGTTTGGAGAATCCAATGGGGGGGCATAGGCATCTGACGGTGACGCCCCGCTGTCAAAAATTCATTTTGGGGGCGAGAATTTGAAAGCACCCAGATGAGTCCAGAGAAAGTTGGGAGAATCCAGACGGTGGGGGGGTGCCGAATTGCTATTTGGCATGGGGGCCCCAACTTAAAATGAGGAGGCCGTGCGACGTTTTCGAGTTTAGAGGAATCTAAAGGAGTTTGGAGAAGTTTTGGGGAATCTGGGGAAGTCCGAAAGAATGCACGAGGATCAAGAGGATTCCTTTGGACTCCAGGAAACCTGGAGTATTCCAAGTGAATCCTGAGGTGTCCGACGGAACATTCGGATGGTTTGGAAATGTGAAGAAACCAAAAGAATTTGCGTGAATCGGAAGGAGTCCTGAGGAATCATCGGGGAATCGAAAGGACGCAGGATGAACCTGGAAGCTCGAGGGACCCAAAAACATGAAAATTAATCTGGTGAGATGTGCAGGAACCATGAGGAGCCCAAAGGAACCCAGAAGAACCCCTAATAATGTAAAGGAACCCCGCGGAAGCTGTAATAATTTCAAAGCGCCCGAATGGATTCAAAGGAAGTTGGGGGGATCCAGCGGAGGGAGGAGCCCGAATGGCCATTTAATAGTGGGGCCCGATTGTCAAATGCGTATCCGAGGGCCCAGGCTGGGGGCCCCGAGTGGCGATTTGACAGTGGGGCCCCACTGTCAAATGGAGTACGGGCCATGGTGGCGGTGCGATGTGTGAGGTGCAACGGCTTGTTTTGATGTCTGCTATGTTCGTTTGCGTTGTGTTGTCTGATGTGCGGCTTTGTCGTGTTTCTTGTTTAGTGAATATCGTTGAATCTCCAGGAATCCTTTTATCTTCCCCCACAAAAGGAATCCCTTTGTTATCACCCACACAAGGAATCCCATTTGAAATCCGCACAAGAGGACTCCCGTTGTAATCCGCCCCAGAGGAAAGGCCTTCTCCCCTCCGGACAGGGTGCAGAAACGTCAAGGAACAAATGAACAATCAGAAAACACCTGTAAATGCACAGCGGGGAAAAGGAACAACTGAGATCATCTCCAGGGGATAAAAGGGAACATATGAACAATTGGAGAGACAACATACATCTTTTTGCAATCCTCCACGAAGGAAGTCCCTTCTGCAGACCGCACACCAGGAAATCCCTTTGTGGCTAGCCACAAATCGAATCCCTCTGTCTTCCCCCACGAAAGGAATCCCGATGTAACTCTCCACAAAAAGGAATCCCTTTGAACTCAGCACAAAAGGACTTCCTCTGTAATCCGCCTCAGAGGGAAGGCGTTCTTCCCTTCCGAACAAGGTGCGGACAAACAGGAACAACAGGAACCATATGACTATTCCTGTAGAAACACAGCGGGGAAACGGAACACATGAGATTATGTTCAGGGGAGAAGAGGGGAAATAGGAAACATTGGAGAGACAGTAGAAATCCTTTTGTAATCCTCCACAAAGGAAGTCCCGTTGCAGTCCGCAGAAAAGGAAGTCCCTTTGTGGCTAGCCACAAATGGAATCCCCCTGCCTTCCCCCACGAAAGGAATGTCGCCGTAACCCGTCCACAAAGAGGAGTCCCTGTGAACTCCGCACAAGAGGACTCCCTTTGTAATCCGCCTCAGAGGAAATTCGTTCTCCCTTCCGAACAAGGAACGGAAAAGCAGAGACAACGGGAAACATATGACAAAACTTATAAAACATACGGCGGGGAAAAGGAACACATGATATTATCCCCAGGGGAGAAGCGGAGACATATGACACATTGGAGATACAATAGAAACACTTTGTAATCCTCCACGGAGGAAGTCCCTTTGCAGCCCGCAGGAAAGGAAACCCTTTTGTGGCTAGCCACACATCGAATTCCTTTGTTTTCCCCCACGAGAGGAATGCCGCCGTACGTCTCCACAAAAAAGGAAACCTATATAACTCCGCACAAGAGGACTCCCTGTGTAAACCGCCTCAGACGAAAAAGGCGTTCTCCCTTCCGAACCAGGTACGGAAGAACAGGACCAACCAGAAACACACAGAAACCACATGTAAACGCACAGCGGGGACAAGGAACCCATGAGATTATCTTCAGGGGAGAAGAGGGGAAACAGGAAACATTGGGGAGACAGTAGAAATCCTTTTGTAATCCTCCACAAAGGAAGTCCCGTTGCAGTCCGCAGAAAAGGAAGTCCCTTTGTGGCTAGCCACACATGGAATCCCTCTGTCTTCCCCCACGAAAGGAATCCCGATGTAACTCTCCGCAGAAAGGAATCCCTTTGAACTCAGCACAAAAGGACTTCCTTTGTAATCCGCCTCAGAGGGAAGGCGTTCTCCCCTCCGAACAAGCTGCGGACAAACAGGAACAAAAGGAACCATCTGATTATTCCTGTAGAAACACAGCGGGGAAACGGAACACATGAGATTATGTTCAGGGGAGAACAGTGGAAATAGGAAACATAGGAGAAACAGTAGAAATCCTTTTGTAATCCTCCACAAAGAAAGTCCCGTTGCAGTCCGCAGAAAAGGAAGTCCCTTTGTGGCTAGCCACACATGGAATCCCCCAGTCTTTCCCCACGAGAGGAATGTCGCCGTAACTCGTCCACAAAGAGGAGTCCCTGTGAACCCCGCACAAGAGGACTCCCTTTGCAATCAGCCTCAGAGGAAAGGCGTTCTCCCCTCCGAACAAGGGGCGGACAAACATGACCAGCAAGGAAACTATGACAAACTCTGTAACAACACAGCGGGGAAAAAGGAACACACGATATCACCATCCAGGGAGAAAAGGAAAATAGGAAACATGGGAGAGACAGTAGAAATCCTTTTGAAATCCTCCACAAAGGAAGTCCCGTTGCAGCCCGCAGCAAAGGACATACCACTGTGGCTAGCCACGAGTGGAAGTCCTCTGTCTTCCCCCACGAAAAGAATGTCGCCGTACGTCTCCACAGAAAAGGAAGCCCTGTGAACTCCGCACAAGAGGGCTCCCTGTGGAATCCGCCTCAGAGGGAAATGCGTTTTCCCCTCCGAACAGGGTAGCGAAAGCAGGAACAAATGACACATATGACACAACCTGTAAAAACACAGCGGGGAAAAAGGAACACATGAAATTATCTTCAGGGGAAAAGAGGAAACATAGGAAATTTTGGAGAGACAATAGAAATCCTTTTGTAATCCTCCACACAAGGAAGTCCCCTTTGGAACCCGCACACATGGAAACCCTTTTGTGGCTAGCCAGGGATGGGATCCCGCTGCCTTCCCCAGCGAAAGGAATGTCGCTGTACCTCTCCACAAGAAGGAACCCCTGTGAACCCCGCAAAAGAGGACTCCCTTTGCAATCCGCCTCAGAGGAAAGGCGTTCTCCCCTCCGAACAAGGTACGGAAAAAAACACACACACAGGACAAAAGTAACCATATGGCAAAACCAGTAGAAACACAGCGGGGAAAAGGAACACATGCTATTATCTTCAGGGGGGAGAAGGAGAAATACGAAACATTGAAGCGACACTTGAAATCCTTTTGTAATCCTCCACAAAGGAAATCCCTTTGCGGTCCGCACAACAGGACATCTCTGTTATGGCTGGCCACAAATGGAATCCCTCTGTCTTCCCCCACGAAAGGAATTCCGATGTAACCCTCCACAAAGAGGCGCCCCTGTGAACTCCGCACAAGAGGACTCCGTTTGTAATCCGCCTCGAAGGAAAGGCGTTCTTCCCTTCCGAACAGGGTGCGGCAACAAAAACAGGAAAAACGGAAACATATGACACATAGGAAAGCATGGGTAAACAAAAAGTCGCAGTGAGGAAACATAAGCATTGATATTATCTTCAGGGGAGATACGGAAAAATGAAACATTGGAGGGGCACCCAGAATCTTTTTGCAATCCTCCACACAAGGAGACCCTTTGTAATCTCCTACACAAGGAAACCCACTCGTAATCGTCCACAAAAGGAATTCCGATGTAATCCTCCACGCTAAGAACCGCTGTGTATTGGATTACACATGGTTTCCTTTAGTGGAGGATTGCAGAAGGAGTCCTATTGTCTTTCATTTGTGTATGTTTTCCTTTTTTCCCCATGAAGTGTTTTTCCCCCCCCTTCCCCCCTTTTTATTTATTATATATATAATAGTATATTCTCATTTTTTACTGGTTTTTTTCCGTTCCTTGTTCGGAGGGGAGAACGTTTTTCCTTTGAGGCGGGTTACAGAAACGGGTTCTTCTGGTGCTGATTACAGTGGGGATCCTTTTGCGGAGGATTACACATGGATTCCCTTTGTGGGAGAAGATAGAGGGATTCTATTTGTGGTGGGCCACACAGCGATTCCTTTTGTGCGGACTGTAAACGGGTTTCCTCTGTGGAGGATTACAAGACTTCTATTGCCCCTCCAATTTTTCACATCTTTTCTCCCCAGAAGATCATATCATGTGTTCCTTTTCCCCGCTGTGCCTGTACAGGTTTTTCATATGTTCGTTTTTTCCATGTTTTTTTCCGCACCTTCTTCGGAGGGGAGAGCGCCTTTTTCCTGAGGCGGATTTCGCAAGTGATCACTTTGGATGCGAATTTCAAAAGGATTCCTTCGGTGCGGATTACACAGGGAACCCTTGTGTGGCGCATTCCAAAAGGATTCCCTTTAGAGCATCCTGCGAACAAATTCCATCTGTAATGGGTTACAACAAAGGTTTCTTCTGTGGCGGCATACAAAAGGATTCTTTTGGTGGAAACGTACAACAGGACTCCTTCTGTGGCTGAGTATACAATGATCCCATTTGCGGCGGGTTATACAATATTTTTTTTTGTGCGGATGCAACGTAATCCCGTTTTGCGGCGCATTACATATTGATTCGTTTTGTGGCATCGTACAAACGGCTTCCATTTGCAATGGATTACACTGGGATTTTTTTTTGTGGCGGAGTACAGCAGGATTCTTTTCGTGGAAGCTTACAGCAGGACCCCTTTTGTGGCGGATTACAGAAGGACCCCCTTTGCTGCGGATTACGATATAATCTCTCTTTTGTGCGGGTTACAACGGGATTCCTCTTGAGGCGAAATACAAAAGGATTCCTTTTCGATCCTCCTCCTCATCCTACTCCTCCTTCTCATCCTCTCCGTCCTCCTCATCCCTCCCACCCCCGCTCCCTCGTCCTCCTCTTTCTGCTTCTCCCATGTTATCCCACCTCCCGTTCCTCATCCTTTCTCCTCCCTCCTCCCTCTCTCCTCCGCTCCTCCTCCTCATCCTCCTCCTACACCTCCTCCTCTTCCTACGCCTCAGTCCTCCGCATTTGTTTGTTTGTTTGTAATCTCCCACAACAGGAATCCATGTGTATTCGTCCACAAAAGGAAATCCTGTGTAACCCTCCACAAACAGGAACCCCTTTGTAAACTAATACGACATGATTCCTTTTTGTGGGGGTTCACGAATAGATTCCTAGTGTCGCTCCAATGTTCCAATTTTCCCTTTCTTACCTGAAGATAATGTTTGTTTTCCTTGCCTTAGCTGTGTTTTTACATGTCTTTCCTATGTGTCTTTTCCCCCCTCGTTTCGTCTTCCTTGTTCGGAAGGGCGAGCGCCTTTCCTGTGGGGCAGTTACATAAGGAGTCCTTTGGAGGCGGATTAGAAAAAGGATTCCGTTTCGGCGGATTACATGGGGATTCTTTTTGTGGCGCATTCCAGTAGGATTCGTTTTGTGGCATTTGACAATGCCCCTTTGACAATGGGCCACCCTCCGTCAAACGATGCAACATCGCTCGAGCGGCCGCAAATTTTCAGTTTTGGGTCCCTGGGGAGAGATATAGGGGGAACATCTCACTCGCCTAGAGAGACAAGGGGTCGGCGCGCTGGGTCAAGCCAGGTTTTGCCAGATTTCGAAACAGCGCGCTGCATTCTTCATTGCATCATGTTCCGTTGCCTCCGCCCGGCTTCCTTGGACATGGCGTTGATTCCTGGGTGTCACTTGTCGACGTCCAAGAGCCTCGACCGCCTAAGGGCGCTGAGCAATAAGAACTCATCGAAGCGCTGGGTCAGGCTGGTCAGCGCATCGACGACCGCATGTGAAGACGAAGACTTCGGGTCCATGATGGGTGAATTCAGCGAGTCGGATGATGACGAGGACCTCGAGCCCAGCTGGTCGGCTGATGACGAGGACCTCGAGCCCAATTGGTCGGCTGATGTCGAGGCCCTCGAGCCCGACGCGGCGGATGATGGCGAGGCCCTCGAGCCCGACGCGGCGGACCGCTGCGATACCTCGCCGCTCGACAGCCTGCTGCGGAGGACACGGCGCTGCTCCGCCGCCCTGCGGGGGACGACCGACGGCCTCGCCCTCGGGCAGGGGGCGACCGGGGCCTGGGAGCCCGGCGCGGTGGACCGCCGCGGGCCCGGCTCGCCACTCGGAGAGATGCTGCTGGCGGCGAAGCGCCGGAGCGCTTTCGCCTGCGGCTTCGGGCCTCTGCGTGAGACGCGCGCGGCAGACTCGCCCTTCTGCGGCACGTGCAGCCGCGGGCGCGTCGCGGGAGCACCCTTGCCCGAGGCGTCGGGCCTCTCGCCGTGAGCGCGCCCGCGTTCCTCGTGGACCACGCGGCACTTCGGGGTCCGCACCTGCTGAGTCTGTGGCAACTTGCGAGGGGCGAACTTGCCTCTCGGCAGTTCCCAGATCGGAGGCTCTTCCTTCGTTGGAACGAGTATGTGCTGTGGCAACCGCGCACGGGCAGCACTTACTTTTAAGGCCAGCCGAAAGGGCCACTGGCGAGACATTTGGCGGCAGTCTGAACAGGTGACAGCATCAGCGCTTCCCAGCACCATGCTGTCTGGTCATCAGCCTTTGAACTTCTAGACGTTTCGCGTAACCCCTACCAGCCTTTAGGCTTGCTTGACCCTTGTGACGGCGCGCGGCTTTCCCGCTTGCGCTCGCGAACAAGAAAGTAACCCCACCAGCCCATTCAGAAACGATGCCCAGAAGAGTTGCCCTGATCAGGGATGTGGAGAAGCATGCAGTCGAATAATGGGCTGGGTAAGATGTCATGCCCCAAGAGGGGGAGGATGGAGGAGTAATTGTCGTCGTCGTCGTCGTCGTCGTCGTCGTCGTCGTCGTCGTCGTCGTCGGAGGAGGAGGAGGAGGAGGAGGAGGAGGAGGAGAAGGAGGAGGAGGAGGAGAGTGAGGAGGAGAGGGAGGAGGGCGAGCAGAAAAACCGGAAGCTTCATGATGCCTCTCGAAGTTTCTTCGGATGTTTTCAGAGACCTTGTTGGAGTCCTCTTGGGCGTCTTGGAGGTTTCTTGGCAGTCCCGGGGGCTTCTTGGGGCGTCTTTGGTGCTTTTCGGGAGCCTCTTGGGGTTTCTTGGGGGTCTCTCGAGAGCCTCCTGGAGGCACCTAGGAGGCGTCTTGGTAGCTTCTCGGGCCTTTCGGTCACCTCTTTGGGCCGTCTTGGGGTACCCTTGGGAGCCTCGGTGGCAATCTTGGGGCCTTCTTGGAGGAGATTGATCAAAGGACGGGCCTTACTAAATTAGGCCTTCCCCCCAGGAGGCCAAACTGTGGCCAACACCTAAGTACAATTAATGATTTTCGCCTTTTCGCCGAGGCCTCTTGGGGCGTCTTGGGTGCCTCTGTGTGCCTCTTGAGGCCTCTTGTGGGGGTCTCTTGGGAACGTCTTGAGGGCATCTTGGAGGCCTCTTGGGGGCCTCGTAGGGCCTCCTGGGCGCCTCTTGGGCTGTCTTGGGGCACCCTCTGGAGCCTCGGGGGCCGTCTTGGAGGAGATCGATCAAATCAGGGGACTCCTTAGTTAGGCCCCCCCCCAGGAGGTCAACATGTGGCCAACACCTTGGTAACATCTGTGATTTTGTCCTTCTCGCCGAGGCCATCTTGGACGCTCTACCGACCCGTCGCCCACCCCGTCCAGGTCCAGGGGGAGGGGGTAAGGGGGAGGGATCGACCCCTCCCCGAAGGGGAAGAAGGGGGGTTGGAAAAAGAAACTCTCTAAACCACTCACGCCCTGAAGGGCTGGTTGGACTTCTTTTTCGGAGGAGTTTGCCTCCCCACTCGAAGTTTCTCGCCCAGCTTTGATACTTCGCTCTTTCCTTCTGCCCTCATCCTCGTCCTCCGTTTCACTCGCTCGAGTGACGATTAGTCACCAAGAGGGCGAGTTCGATCAGAGATGGGCGGCCCAGTTGGGGGTGATGTTTTTGGACTGCATCAGCTTTCGATGCTTGTCTATCCAGAGACTCGGCCGCCCCACCGGAAGGTTCTCGCCCAGCTTCGCTCATGATTCTCGTCCTCTTCTCCGTTCCTTGTCATTTCAAGTCGTATCTACGCGCCCCGAGCGTTGCTTATGCTGGTGCCAACTGGGCCAGGGAGGGGCACTGTAGGGCCGCCCGCCATGCGGTTTCAAGCTCGAACGCCTTGATTTTTCTACTCTGTGCGTCTGAAGGGCGGCTTTTGTGCTGCTGGTTCTCAGGCTTGTGGGTCGTCGCCGGGCGAATGCCGCGCGCGGGGGTCCTGGCTCGTTTGGCGCAGTGTGCCGTATGAGACATCACGAGGGTCGCACCTGCTGCGTCTGACTGCGGCACCTGGCGGGGCGCGAATCTGCGTCCAAGGCTCTGTGGGCGGCTCCCAGCCTCGTCATTCCCCGAGCAGCGCGCGAGCGCTGTAAGGGCTTTGGGCTCTCAGAGGAGTTGCGACCTTGGGACCAAGAGTGCGAGTAAGGTGCGCCGCCCGCGTGTGCCGTGGCGTGCAGTGCCGGCGTCCCGTGCCGTTCCGTGCCGTGCCGTGCCGTGTCCTCGTGCAGTGCCGTGCCGCGCCTCGTAACACTCCGGAGTGCGAAGCGAGAGTGCCGCGCGCGTGCTGCGCCGTGCCGCGTCTGGTTTCTGGAGTGCGAGGCGGAGTTGCCGCTCGCGTGCCTTCCCATGCCGGGCCCGCGTGGGGTGCCGTGCCGTGCCCGCGCACAGCGCCGTCCCTCGCCGCGGGGCTGCGGACCGCGTCGCCGCCCGCGTGCTGGGGCCGTGCCGTGCCGTGCCCTGCGTGCCGTGCCGTGCCGTCCAGGGCTTTGCCCGAGATCGGAGGCGCCTGCGGCGAGTCGCCGCCGCCTCCTGCCATCTCTGGAAGCGCCTCTGTGGCCGAACGTTGGGCTAGAGCTATCGGACCACGCGTTCCCCCAGCTGTCGCTGAAACCTTTCGGGGAGCACGTGAGGAAGAGGATAATGAGGAGAAGAAGGGGAAGGGAATGATTTGGAGGAGGAGGAAGAGGAGGAGAAGGAGGAGGAGAAAGGAGGAGGAGGAGGAGGAGGAGGAGGAGGAGGAGGAGGAGGAGGAGGAGAGGAGGAGGAGGAGGAGGAGGAGGAGGAGGAGAGGAGGAGGAGGAGGAGTGAGGAGGAGGAGGGGGAGGAGGAGGAGGAGGAGGAGGAGGAGGAGTAGGAGGAGGAGGAGGAGGAGGAGGAGGGAGAGGAGGAGAGGGAGGAGGAGGAGGAGAGAGGAGGAGGAGGAGGAGGAGGAGGAGGCGGAGGAGGAGAGGAGGAGAGGAGGAGGAGGAGGAGGAGGAGGAGGAGGAGGAGGAGGAGGACGGAGGAAGAGGAGAGAGGACGGAGGAGGAGAGGAGGAGGAGGAGGAGGAGGAGGAGGAGGAGGAGGAGGAGGAGGAGGAGGAGGAGGAGAGGAGGAGGAGGAGGAGGAGGGAGGAGGAGGAGGAGGAGGAGAGGAGGAGGAGGAGGAGGAGAGGAGGAGGAGGAGGGGAGGGAGTAGGGAGGAGGAAGGAGGAGGAGGAGGAGGAGGAGGAGGAGGGGAGGAGGAGGAGGAGGAGGAGGAGGAGAAGGAGGGGGAGGGGGAGGGGGAGGGGGAGGGGGAGGAGGAATGAGGAGGAGGAGGAGGGGGGAGGGGGAGGAGGAAGGAGGGAGGAGGGAGGAGGGAGCAGGGAGGACGGCGGCATACGATTTAGATGGTCCAGAAATGGCCTCGTCTTCCGCGCTGCTGCTCGCCTCCGGCAGAAGGAGGCGGAAGGCTGGCGGCGGCCGGCGGAGGCAGCACGGCGGCGGGGGCGGGTGGAAGATGGCGGAAGGCTGGCGGGGTGCGGCGGAAGTAAGAGCGAGTCGTCAGCATGCTTTGACTCAGGGGGCCTGGAGCTTGACAGCTATCGCAGGCCTAGAGGTTGACACAAGCACCAATATCGGCAGTGTGCCTCCACCGAGGGAAGAAGATCCCGATCTCGGTGATGGTGGTAATATTCTGGCTTCCAAGGTGACCGAATTATTACCACCAACACCGAAATCGAGGATAATCTTCCCCCTGTGGAGGCAACCCCCTGCGTTGGTGTTGGTGCCCATGTACAGGCCTCCAGAGCTAGGCCCCTCGCACATGCGGGGGGCAGGTGGCTCGACAGGGAATCACCAGCCCTGCCGGGGGCCGCATCACGGGGGCGCTTCTTCGGGCCAGCACCGGCGGTCTCGGCGGCACCCCGTGTGGCCTCTCCTCTGGCCTCGCTCCGTGCTCTAGCCCTACGCGGGGTCGCACCTGGCGCGCAAGTGGCTCTGCCGCCTTCTCCATGGCCCTGGCCAGCGAGTGGCGGGTCTGGTGCTGGGGTGCAGGAGGGGTGAGGGGGAGCGCGCAGGAGGAGTATTGGCAGAAGCAGCCAGGCACGGCGGCAGAGGCGAGGGGGTCGGGGCGGTCGGGATGAGGAGGAGGAGGAGGGGGAGGAGGATGAGGAGGAGGAGGAGGAGGGTGAGGAGGAGGAGAGGAGAGGAGGAGCTCGAGGACTCAAAGCATGAGCCAACAAACAGAGGTCGACAACATCTGAAAATACAAAACGAGTTAGGTTCTGAAGCGGGCCGATCTTGGCCTCGGCGACGTGATACTGCTGCGGATGCGAGGAGGGTGAGAGTAACAACAGCCCACAGCGTCACAACCGTCCAAAATTCTACGTGGGCCGTTCGCCCCATTGGTGCCACTTTCCAATGCCTCGACGACCTTTGCGATTGAGGAGATTGCCCATGCTTTTCTGACATGGCATCCGCTGCAAATGCCAGTCTGACTCTCATCGCTTTGAGCACGACGACGACAATGGCCGCATCTCGACGCGGGAGGATGATTTACTAGTCCCACGTTGGTATTGGTTGGTGGCGCCCCAAACGAGATGCCCGTTTTCAGCTGCTGTCCGTAAACGTCAGAATTTCTAGATTCGACGGCGGTCTTTTCAATGAGGGTGGGAGGATAGTAGCAAACTGCAGAGAATCATGTGAGGAGGAGGGCACGATGGGTTCCTCCCCTCCTCCTTTCCTTTTTTTTTTTTTTTTTTTTTTTTTTCTCTTCTCTCTCTCTCTCTCGCTCGCTCGCTCCCGCTCTCATCCTCCTCCGCTTCCTCGCCAGCATCACCAGGCCTGACCGAGGTTGAGTGGCAGTTTTTTGCTGGATGCGTTGCAGGCAGGGCATCTGGCGCGCATCGCTGGACGGTCAGTCGGCGCAGAAATTGACGCTACGGGCATGCCCCTCCGTAGAGGTCCGTCCATCCATATCGATGTTGTTGATACTGCTGATGATGCTGTTGCTTTTGCTGATGGTGAAGCCGAAGATGAC